TTTTTTTTTTTTTTTTTTTTTTTTAGCACATTCACAGAGTTGGGTAACCATCCCCACAGTCAGTTGTGTAACATTTCCATCAAGCCCCAAAAGCAACCCGGTACCCATTTACAGTCACTCCTCACCCCCACCCCAACTTTCTACCCCTGCTCTAGCCAACGACTAATCTACTTTCTGTCTTTATGGACTTAATCTATTCTGGACAGTTCCTAAGAATGAAATCATACAGTATGTGGCACTTTGTGTCTGGCTTCTTTCACTTAGCGTAACGTTTCCAAGGTTCATCCGTGTTGTAGCATTCCTTTTTACTGCCAAATAATATCCACTGCCCCTTATACTAAATCCCAAATCCCAAGATTCAGCTCTGTCTTCAAAAAATGCTCTTTATGTTCTAGGGATGGTGTAACCTCTAGTCCTTGCCTTCTCTTCCCTTCTGCCATGGTTGCCTAAGACAGTCTTTTTTTAAATTGTAAAACGTATGTAGCATAAAAATTTACCTAACCATTTTTAAGGGTACAGTTTGGTCCTGTTAAGTGGATTCACATTGTTGTATAGCCAATCTCCAGAAATTTTTTTCATCTTGAAAAACTGCAACTCTGTACACATTAAACAACAATCTTCATTCCCCCCCCTCCCCCCAACCAAAACTGGAGCTCTGTACCCATTAAAAAAACAATCCCTATTCCCCCTCGTCCCAGCCTCTGGCAACCACCCTTCTATTTTTCTGTCTCTGAATTTGGCTACTTTAGATAACCTCATATAAGTGGAATCATACTGTATTTAAGGGAGTCTATTTTTAAATGAGGTGGAAACAGGAAAGGTAGACTGTGAGAGCTTCTCTGAAACTTCTCCCCTGGACCTTGGGCGTCTTTCACGTCTGCACTTGCCCAGGAAGCCATGAAGCAGGCTTGGCTGTAGACCTGGTGGGGTTTCCAAAGGGGATACTGACCCCCCAGGGTGAGGGGCTCTGTCTGAATGACAGCAGAAGTCCTAAGAAGAAACTCCTGGTGAGGAGCTAAGAAGGAAGTGAACCCACTGCCTCATCTTCCTCAGGAGAAATCGCAGATACAGAAGGATCTCTGGAGGATCGAAGATGTCATTGCAGGCCTGAGTACAAATAAAGAGAACTTCAGAATCCTGGTGGAATCAGTCAAAAATCCGGGTGAGGGCTTCCCTGGTGGCGCTAGTGGTTGAGAGTCCGCCTG